TGGCAGTCGATAAAATAGTATGCGAACTCTGCCAAGAACAGTCCAGAAAACAAGTCCAGTCCGAAAAGGTTGAATACAGCAGAATCCAGGTAATACAGCAGGTTTTAGGTAATACTGAACTAGAAATAAGTGAAGTCTCAAGAGCAGGCAGCTCCAATAGTAGAATAAGTAGTCCACGGAAATCAATGTAGGAGCACACGCAAAATGCGACCGCTCACGACCAGGACTGACGGTGAACTCACAACATAAACTATCTCGCTTATCCTCAAAAAGGCCAGAAATAAAATAAGGATGGCACAGGCGCCTTGGAGACTCTCCTGCGAATCGTTTTGTAACGATTCGCAGGAGAATATTCGAGGCGATCCCAATTGATTATAACGATCCCAATTAATAATGACGTCTATGTCCTCCTCAGAGGCTTTCTTTCTATGCCTCACTGAGGGTGTTTCTCTTTTTGCTGAATCTATTAGCAGCTTTTGGAGCTCTGCTTCCCCGCCTTTCAACCCACCGTAGAAGAAATTCAAGGAGGCTACGGCCATAGGGATGCATTTAAGCTGTTGTTTATGAATTAAATGTGCTATGAACAGGTTTCTAAGCTTCCCCAATTGTAGGCGCGCACTGGGGAGAGAAGAAGCGAAAGCCTCGAAGCGATATCTCATGGAGGAGTAAGCGGACATCGTGCTTGGTGCCAGAGAGCAAAGCCATTTCTTCTTGCTGGCTGCGAGCAGTAGCGATTGTATCACACAATGCCATCCACTTCTTGCCTAAACGAGGGGTATGTGACGTTTGTGCAGTGCACTTTTTTCGCACCTCTCCTCTCATAATGGCAGAGTCGCCTGCGGTGTGACCCCACTTAATTGCTGGCTCGCTGCCTTCTGACCTCTCATCGATTACGCTGTTCAACCTCCTATCATGCTATAACACTACTCGAAAAATATGAATACGGAAGTGTGAAGACTGAATGAGTATTAAGTTTCAAACCGATGATTAAAAAGTTCAAAAGAAAAACATTGTGGAGAACATTTCCCCAACTCGGATAGAAAGTTTCTATTTGCGTTTATAGACGATATATATAAAGAGATTACCGCCTTCAAGCGGGTCAATTCGTTGAATGTGACCGTCAGAGCTTTTAATTATCCTAGATGTCTTCCTTATCCTAACACCTGATAAAAAGGTCATCGTTAAAAAGGATTCAAGGGCGCTTCTTGACAACAACCAGCAGTACTGCTTTATGCACTCACTTGAGCACACCATGAATCACGTGCGACGATCTTCAGCAGCTCTCATCATCCTTCTACACGTGTCCCTCTCTCCCTCAGCTTTCCTCTAGCACTAGCCACCAAGGAACATGCACCTACATATTGGATGAACTCCGCGGTTCTTCAAGGCCCCCAGTCCACCATGTCTCCGCATGATCCGTCATTATACATAGGCGCTTTGCCCCAACTTTTTCCCCAATCCTTCACACCACCATCGTACTATTTCACCACTTCACAGATTTCTACAGGTTATAATTCAGCTGAACCCACATTCCCTGATGATCTGCATTCGGCTTCACAAGACATTGGTTGCAGCTCAGAACGTCATCTGTTCCGCTTTCATCTACAATCCCGTCACGCCGTGCACCAACTCCGCCTGCACCAGATTCCTTGCTTGGTGATTCTACCGTTTCAGATTTATCTCAGACAGCGGCTCCTGCACTATCACAACAAAGAAAGACAGAGACATACATTGGTACATTGGACAGGCATTGGACATACTTTTTTAATTACATGTGAGATGCACAGACAGAATTTTCATTTCTGCTCCCCGGTTCGAAGAATGTTACCGAAACGGGGTGAGTGAAAGTCAGATAGAAGAATATTGTGTGAAGATGTCAAGATTTGTAACCAAACAACAATTTGAATTCTGCTCATGTATTATAATGAAAGCTCAGTTGGTCTCGTGCACCCTCAGTCTGTTTGACGTACCATGTGTCTTTAAGAAGTCTAGGCAGTCCTACCTCCCCTTCCGGACAACTCGCTGTACCCTCGTCATCCGGGCAGTTGATTAGGGCGGTCGTCAACGGGCCGCAGCGCGTGCCAGGAACTATTTGCTTTTCCAGGCTAATTTAGTCATTTTTTCCACCTTGTGAAGATAAGGAGCTGCTAATCTGGGAAAAAGTAGCCAAAACAGTGAAAAGTTGGAAAAAATGACTAAATTAGCCTGGAAAAAGCAAATAGTTCCTGGCACGCGCTGCGGCCCGTTGACGACCGCCCTAATCAACTGCCCGGATGACGAGGGTAGGTTGCTGCTCCTTCTATGGTGACTGTTGCGGTTTGTGCGTGTGTAAGACCTTATTTGCTTGTGTAATTCAGTGACCTGAAGAAGGGCTTAGGCCCGAAACGTCGTCAATAAATATTTTTGGAAGAAAAGAAGAGCTTCTCATTTCTATACATAAGAACATAATGAAAGCTGTTAATATTTCTCATATTTGTATTTGAAGAAATATACTATTTTACCAATAAAGTTACTTGGTTGCTTAGACGTAAAAGTTGAGGAAAGGTCTCCAAAATTTTTTTAAAACTCTTGTTTCACCGGTTTGAAACCTAATATTCACTTCACACTTCCCTATCCATATTCTTCGAGTTGTGTTATAACATGTTATAACTGAGAAAACAGTGTAATCGATGAGAGGTCAGGAGGCAGCGAGCAAGCAATTAAGTGAGGTCACACCGCAGGCGACTATGCCACCATGAGAGAAGAGGTGCGAAAAAAGTGCATTGCACAAACGTCCTACACCCCTAAACGAGACACCATGAGCTAAGGGGAGGGTGGGTGGCAGCTCAGTAAGCAGAAAATAGCCGGAATGGCCTAACTTGTCCCGCCATCCAGGGGATGCGTGACCCGGCACGCCCATCGATGACCCGAGGTCTTCGCGCCTCGCTGAGGCGCTTGCCCTTGCGAAATACCCTACTAACCGTCTCGTAGCCTACGCAAAACAACGATTTTGACTCCGAAACTTCGTCAAAAACTACATTTTGCTTCTGCTACTCGACGGAATTTTTAAAGCGCGAGGGTACAGAGAAATCAACTTTAGCGAAGACGAAGTCAAAATTGACCGATGGGGATGAAAAGGTGAAAGATGATGATGCGTCTTTTATGAGAGCACTGCCCTTGGTAACGACAAAAGTGTCCAAAACCCCCGGGATCCACCCCGTACTAGTACGGAGCGATGAGAATAAGATGTGTGAAGGCCAAAGAGGAAAACCCAATACACCCTTACTACCAAACCTCCGAGCTGTCGAAATTGTTCGCACAATCAAATGAGGAGGAGGAACCCACCAGCAATAATACTCACACCAGAACCTCGATGAAGTGTCACTGAAGGCATCAACGGCTGAGCAGTTCTCGCAAAACCATCTGGAAACAAACGTTTCGCACTTCTTGTTATTTTCGTCTGCGAACAAGTCAACCTCGAAAGGTCCCCAAGTTCTATTCAATTTGTCAAAAATGGAATCAAGAATGGACCACCCATTCAAGTCAACAAATCTCGACGCCCTGTCTGCCTCAGCATTGAGCTCCCTGGGAATCCAGAATACCTCTACATCTATCCTAAGATGTCCCGCTGTTTCCCAAATTTGGGTGGCCAGCTCTTGTAGCGCCTTCTGAACTACCTTTGTAAAATATTGCCTGAGCAGCTTGACTATCCGTCTGAATTTGAACCTTTTCGTTACTAATCAGTGAGCCAAATGATTTGAGCGCTTGTAAGATACCGAACAGTTCTCTGGCTGCACTTGAAGCTTCCCTCAGAACGAGTGGAAGTGGGGATGCGGCTATGAGATTGGACCCGGAAGAAGTACGAAAAACTGCTCCCACTCCTAAATAGAATTAACTTCAGTTATTGTTGAAATTACGAAGAAGTCGCGGAAAACCCCCCCCCCGAAAATTGTGCAGATCCGTTTTACTGGCGTCTAAGAACTGCAGCCAGGAGAGACTCTCTTCCCTTTCTTCTGATGTGAAAGGCCACCTGAAACCTAGTCTGTACCCGCTAGATACTTTATCAGCGACTTCTGCAAATCACTGCGCGATTCCTCTTAGATAGATCCCGAGGGATGATTAAATGCATGGAGACAGTGGTGCCTAAGGCTGCCTTTATACTGCGGCAACGTAACGTAGCGTAGCGCTTCCAGCGTACGCCAGCGGCAGTGCGGGGAGAGGATGGATATCGATCTGGCAGCGTTTTGCTGGCGTTTGCAGCGGCAGGGGAGTAGAGACTATGTGGCCGTCAGAGACGCGCAATCGATGTGTATTGTAGAGACTGAGGGCGAGTGAGAGACGCGCAATCGATGTGTTTTGTACCCTCCAGCTCTCCCATAGTCTCTACTCCCCTGCCGCTGCAAACGCTAGCAAAACGCTGGTGAAACGCTGGAGAAACGCTGGCGTAGCTAGCGTACGCTAGCGTTACGCTGGTGACGCTGGGAACGCTAGATCGATATGCATCCTCTCCCGGCACTGCCGCTGGCGTACGCTGGAAGCGCTACGCTACGCTGCAAAGTATAAACGCAGCCTAACAGTTTCAGTATGCTTCTCAGAGAAGGGTTCCTGGTTTTCAATAAAGAATCTATAATCATTCTCATTTTCTCCTTTCTTTCTAACGTAATGTCAAGCGACATTTCTTTAAGATCGATACTATGACCTAACCAGGTCATTTTCTGGCATGGCCGCCAAATACACTTTTCCTCTGCAATGAAAAACCCGGCCTCCTCCAGATCCCTCCTAACAATGGCTGAAAATTGTTACATTCGCTCTCTGAACCACACCTACCCCTTGAGATCTTCATCTCGCTAAGAGGGGAGCGGAAGAGCTTAGTGAAAATGTATGGAGCTGGGGAAAGCCCGAACGGCAATACGTTGAAGGCGTAAGTTTGGTTCTCCCATTGGAAATCCAAGTACTTTCTGAAACTCTCGTGAACCCGGACATGGTGATAGCCCGATCGAAGGTCAAAACAAGTCATGAAGCTATGACACGTCTCTAACCTTTGACAAATCTTCGAACTTTATATGGACCTTTTCGAGATACTTGTTCAAATCTGACAAGTCTAGAATAAGACGAAGTTTCTTACCTTCTGCAACTGAGAGGGGATTTATGCGGATACCCTGGGTATTGGTACATACAGAAATAGCATTAGAACCAAGTAGAGATTGAATCTGATCTGAAACAAAACTACTATAAACTGCTGTAGACCCCCTGTTGCTTTCTATGAACCTAAGGCTAGGTTCCGCCAAAAATTTTGGGAGGAAACCCTCCTCTAATGTTTTCCTCGAACGTAGGAACGTTCAAGGACAACCAGAACTCTTTTTCGTATGAATATTACCTGAAATGAAAGGATTCGTTTTTTCAATTTATATTTCCTCGGGAATTTGCATTCAGTCGCGGAAGTGTCCGAACCGTCCGCACTGATAGCACATGTCCTTACTTGAGGCCCCTCTGCTTGTAGGACGAAGTTCCATTCTAGATCCGTCAGAAGTGCCTTGGAACTCCATTTTGGGGTGACCTCGTGCTCTCTCGGGCATGTACTGAGGAGGTGCGAGAGCCCAGAAATGGTTCGATTTTCATGTCGATTTCTTCTTTGTTTCCTCTTTCTCTTTTTTTTCAAGAACTCTACCAAAATAGGGTCTTTAGTTGTTTCAGCCTTCTTTTGCTGATCATAAAAAGCGAAGACTGATACGTCTCCGTCAGCGACCACTAGTAGTTCGTTTCTAGCTGAGAGCAGCGATACGGCGTTCTCCAGTCTTTCCTTTATTTCGCCTTCCTTTGCCACATTGATGACTGGGCGAATGATGTCCATTATCTCTTCGTTGAAACTTGAACTTGACGTTCCAATCCGGTCCTGGCAAACGTGTGTTTCGGAGGGGCCACCGGCGGCCAATGTACCCGCTCTTAGCTCGAGTAGTCTTGCTAAGGTTTCTTCCGATAGCTGGAACACCTTAGGTTGACTGGACGATCCCTCCGCTGGTGGGTTAGTTGGTGAATCACTCGGGCTCTTGAACACTATCTTCCTCTGGCATTATGAACCGCAACGAGCAGAAATTTTGGCGTTAGCCGCACAATGACTTTAGCAATAAGGATGACCAGAACTGGTACACACTAATTGTAAAAGAGAGACCAAAGCAATGTCTATAGGAAGGTAAAGATACAAGCCACAACTGTGTCGAAATGAGCAACAGCTCAGTAAGCAGAAAATAGCCGGAATGGCCTAACTTGTCCCGCCATCCAGGGGATGCGTGACCCGGCACGCCCATCGATGACCCGAGGTCTTCGCGCCTCGCTGAGGCGCTTGCCCTTGCGAAATACCCTACTAACCGTCTCGTAGCATACGCAAAACAGCGACTTCCGCACGATTCCCGTAGTGGTCTGGCGTGTAGTCCGGTGTTATACGTACGTCCACTGCGGAGTTACAATCAACTGAGGCGCCGTTTAGGTAACGGTACCAGGGGCGGCAATACAGAATTCAGCTTCTTGTTGTGCTTCCAGCGGGACCAGAACCTGCAGAAGTCGACGGGGAGGTTAACCGTCTGGTAGGCACAGTAATACAATCGAAAAGGAGTACTTCACCTTCACTGGTGGAAAAGAACTTGTTAAAAATCTCAAACTGTCAGAGCACATCAATTGTGCGGATCGTGGTCGACTCCGTACGACACCCCTTCTTTGCGGGTAAGTGCAACCTCCCCCCCCCCTCCCGCCCTCTGTCCCTCCCATCGAATCGGGCCGTCGAGCGAGTGAGGGAGATGGAGGAGTAAAATAGCACATGTGAAACAGGAAAAGCCGTGAAACCATACTACGCCGCCTCCATCAATTCTCAGATTTTTAACTTTCTGTCACTTGTTCCAAAACTTCCGAAGTCTCCGAAAACTTCCCTACTTCTCCCCAAAAACTAGAAGAGCTTAACTGTCGAGCGAGCCCTGGGAGCAGCGGGGGGCGGGGAGGGCGGGACGGGAAAATCACGAAAAGTCACGGGGAAAATCAACTATCAAAATAAATTTTCCTCAGCTCAGATACTACTCCTCCCCCTTCTCCTGGCGTCAAATATGACCCCCCCCCCGTTGGAGACTCCCCAACAAAGATGGGCCATGCAAACTATGTCTCCCTTTTCAGTTCGATATCGATCTGGAGACACTGTGAGTCGCTGGAGGGTCAACACGATCAATGTCAGAAGCGATGCATCGAAGTGCTCGACTGAAACTAGAAGAGTGTAACGAACCCAGATTCAGCCTGCTTTTATATATATAGCAGTAAATAGAATATCACTGTACTCTGCGACCTATAAGGCTACCTACTGAGACAGTTGATCTGCATGAGTATGACGTCATGATGAAGCCTTAACTACAGTTTCGTCGTGGTCGTGTCCAGTAGCGGCATCTCTTTGCAATCCCATGAATTACATATAAATGTTCAGCTTTCTTGGCGACGTCCAGCTCAACTTACCATCCATCGAATTAAACCAGTGTACTTACGTGTACTAGTACAAACTCGTGACAAGACTACCGCAGTCATGCGGCCAGCATAGAACCTAAGCAGCTATTCTGGTACGATCATAGACCGTTATGGTCATGTAGCTTCTCAAATGCTCTGAAAAGACGCGCACGTTTATTCAACGTGGTCTCGTAAAGGAGTAGTCCATCTGGAAGACTCTTTGGCAGGATTCACCCACATTGCAGTGGAAATGGTGAGGCGCTAATTCATCACGTTGAGGCTCCGAAAACAGCTGAGTTTCCATGAGAGAACGAACTACAATCTGAAACAACGGTAAGTACCGTCGCTGGAGTGAAAGTCCACGTCTTAGATATACCTCATCAAAATCCGCGTAGGTCGGCAAAGTGGAAGCCATGTAATGACCGCATATTCCAGTTTCATGTTCATTTGGGGGATCTTTCGCCAAAATCAAAAACGTTTCCCTGATTTTTTTTGCGAATTGCGATTTTAGGCTCCAGTGCCATAATGGACTAAGTTACCTGGAATAGGACGTCCCCTTGATATGCCTACTTACTGACTCCCGGACTTGTGATCTTCGCGTTATCGATTGTTCAAGACTGCCCACCGGGTCTCCTCTGATATTGGATTGTAACAGTGATAATTCAATGTAGCCTGGAAGACTGCGGGACCTAACGGCTACCCAGTGTCACACAAACTAGGGGATTTTCCAAACACCGCGGGGCCACATAGAGAGTATCACCGTTTATTTCGGGAAAAGGGAGCTGGACGGTTCGTACGAGGCTGCAGAGATGCGGCTCCAAGAAGACTTTGGCGGTGGAAATAACCCCGAACAACTTGAAACAATGGGTCGTATAGGTCAACTAGGTGAGTGAGGCCATTTAGTTGGCCTCGAGGCCAGAAAACAACCTATTTCCTCCAGTCCAGTGACTACGCTGAGGACACCCTTGTGATTTCATAATTTATAGATTTAATCCTGACTCTTCACCTGTAAGAAAAATAATTAAATGTCATTTTCAGCAAGAGTGCAAGCAAACACGTCCTTACAACCAAATTTGGCGCAGGCGTTTATCACAACGACACCCTTATCAGTTGTTTCTGACATTTCTCTATTTCGTTACCGTTACCACATATCGAAACCCTATTGATTTCCACTTAAGTGCAACTCCGAGATTACCTTTCGGAAGCCTTAGATACCTTCGGACTGCTGAATTTTTAGTGCTAGTGCTAGACAAATCAATTTGTCTTTCAAGGAAATTTTATTTTATTACAATTTCTGTGATTGTACTATTGATCCTTCTATTGTTTATGGGGAACATTTGGTGTAGGGAAGAACAAAAAGAGATCATTCAACTGAGAGTGTTCTGATGTGTGAAGGTTCCTGGTCTCATTGCTGTTGGTACTTTCTGATTGATTTCAGACCATGCAAAGGGTGACAGCGCTGATCTCTCGTTCGACACTTTCGCAACCGTTTAAGGTGAGCGATTTTCCTTCTTGCTATCCGAAATCATAAAATCTTGTATATCGGCGATTAATCAGTGCGAGGGGAGGAGTGTAGAGGGGTCACATCAGGCCTCGTGACATTCGATGGTTAACTTTTCCTTCATTCTTTTTTTCAGAAACGTTGCTATGCATGTGTGCACTTCTCTTTGTCACTTGCGAGCGATGCCACAATATTACAATTTTTGACGGTTGGCCGAGTGTCGGTCCCCCTTCTCCTCCCATCTACTGGACAAATATTTCGGTGTGGGATGATCGTGTTCAAAAAGTCTCATTCAACGCCATATGTCGTATCACGGAAAAGTTTCTCCAGCGCCATGGCTGACCTGTCCGAAATCGTCTTCTCGCCCCTTCTTTGTGTCTTTCTGCCAGTGACTGGGAGGGGAGAGATAGAGAGGGAGAGAGAGACGACTAGTAGACAGGACGATGGCTGCTAAACCCGCAACGAATCTAGTAATAAAATAACTGAGGAGCGAAATCAAGGCGTGCAAAGGAACTACCGAACCAGGGCAGCATACGATCCTAGATCAACTCTCGATCGCGGCTCATCGGAGAAAAGAGAGCGCGCAAGTCCAAAGGTAGGATCGATGCGCTCGGCGATACATGCAGTCTGCTACGTGCCTTTCCTTTGTCATCTCTGCTCTAAAAAATATTTATTTGTAACTGTGATTGCTGTTGTTGTCTTCACAACTCTTAGGATGTTGCATAAATGCTCGTCATCTCAACACATGAGGGAAGAACTTTGTAAACCTTGTGTAATGCTAGCACTTTTGCAATCACTTCACCTGCTCTCGAACTACTACGCCAGCCCATGGTTTATAGCTTTTTCCCCTGAAGAGCAAGAGGCTCATCGTTGTTGGGAGCATCGCAATAGGAAGGGGGGGTGGGGTCGTATCTTGGCCCGCCGGAGGGGGAGTGTCCTTATTTGGGCTGAAAAATTTATTTCGATAGTTGAATTTGTCACAGGCGTTACGAGCGTTGTAGAAATGAGGGGAGGGGGTCGTACTTGCTCACTGGTGGATCGACAGCAAAATTTCTGGGAAAAAGTAGGGAAGTTCTAGGAAATTTTGGAAGACGTGGCAGGAAGTTGGGGATTATTTAAGAATTGGTAGAAAGGGAAAGGGGTCGTTCGGACAGGACTAATATCCCCAACCCAATGATGTGCAATGCTGAAGAGTCATTTAGCGACTACAGGTTTGTCATTGAACGCCACTTCCCATAGTGTGCAATCGTGGGCTTTGCCTTCAAGCAAAACCTAACTGTCGTGCTTTGAGATGAGTTTTGAGCGTCCATGTATTTTTTTTGTTTTTTTTTTTTGTCCTCGCTACTATCTAATGTGGCTAGTGTTCACTTCAAAAACCTCTGGTAATTCAATTTTTATCAAGCGTTCTATGAAGCTGTGGTATAAATACATTGATTAGAGTGCTGGGGCTCCAGGTGGGTATATTTTTTTGAGTAAAATACACGAAAAAGGGGTTTCAATAATGTTGCTCGTGGCGCCTCTTGAATATACATGAAAATGCGACTTAAGACGCCTCTGTCTGCCTTCAGAGTTCTGATACACCTCTTAGTATTCTGTCAGGTGAATCCTCCTCTGAGGTGACTATCATCCAATGTTTACTGCTAGCTTTCAAATAACTTTTTTTATAATCTTTTACATTCTAATGGAGATAGAAAGCATATCGGGAATGGTGGACTTTTTGCCATTCCGTTCGCATCCAATGTTCCCTTGTGGCACGGCCTTATACAGAACTTTTTATCCTCTGTGGAATGTGATCTCCAAGAATGTGTTCATATGTATTTTGACAACTATATATTGTCTCCAATAGTGGTTTCCACCATGGAACCTTCCCTATCTGTCTTTTTGTCCACTTTTACACCTGTGCGTCACTTCAAGGATACCAGTTAATGCTACTATTATATCGCCTAACAACTTGTGAATGGGAGTTCTGACTGTGCTTTTCCCGATACCGGCTTTCTAGACAGAGTACTCTTTTAGGACTGCCTTCAATTTGTATTTTTATGCAGAAAACAAAACAAAATCGTTTCATAATCACATCGAATTGATCTTTTTTGACTGGCAGTATATTGGAGTCCTGCTATTTCCAATTACTTTTTGAGAAATTTCCATTTCAGTCATGTTAACGCGGACAACAAAGACATCATTTATAAAGGATAAAGTTTCCGCCGTAGATCTGCCCCTCTTTGGGATGCGGCACGCATTCTACTTCCATTCAGAATCGTAGTGCCTTATTGGATGCAATGTGGCCTATACAATGACTTGCGGGGGCCAGCCGATGAGTTGTCTAATGAAGGAACGAGTCCATAAAGATTAAACAAAGGACGAGAAAAAAGATATGAAGCACTTTATACAAAGCAAAATAAAAAAAAAAATTATGTGGGCCGAACCATTAAGAAAATATTTGCATTAAGAGACGCAGTTAGTGATCATCTGATAGATGCAGTCCGTTGCTGATGATTGGGGCTTGTCAGGAAGGTGGGTTTGGCGCGACCTCAAACCGTTTAGTTGGGGTTGCTTCCACAACTTCCACAAGCGGAGAAGAACGAGCTAGCGCGCCAAAAATTCGGCCCCCTAAACTACGCCCCAGCAGCCGCAATGGTGCAACCGTAGGCCCAATTGGCGAATCACGAGCGAGCTTAAACCAAGCAGCTGCACCCACAGTGAAACCTAACACGTTGTCTCTTACTTCTCTTTCCGTTCTCTCGCCCGCGGCAACTGTGCTATTCGCTGTTGCCCGTAGTTCAGTCCTCGAAATCCAATCGTAAAATGAAATTATTATTTGGGACGTATTTGAGGGTCTTGTCTACATTTTTCATCAACAGTGAGCCGTTTTTTCCAACGATTTCATATCTGACCCCTGCTGTCCACGGAGTGTGTCTTTGGGTAAACCAGCTCACACCTCTTTTCACTCCTCCCTCCACCCCCCCCCATCGCTTCTCTTCATTCAGTCGTTTCACCAGTAGTCAACAGCTCTCCATCTTCTTTTCTTTCTTAGTCTTTCTTTCTTATTCTTTCTATCTTAGTCTTCTTTCTTTCTTAAGTCTATTCTTTTCTTTCTTTCTTTCTTTCTTTCTTTCTCTCTCTCTGATTCCACAGAGGCAAGCAAGGCAACAGGCGTGTGGCTGTTGGTATCGAGTAATAAGGCTACTCGGCCTGCTATAGCTGATAGCTGGAATCTCACACTGATGTGTAATCTGATAATGAGAACTGTGTCCGGAAATGTGATGGCGGAGATGGTATAGCGGCAAGCTGCGCGCCGATTTACTAAAGCGTATGCTATGGATCTAATCCCGTTACGGGTTATCGACTTTCCCGGGTATGTGACAAGAGAATCGTAATTGGCCGCGCTGCGGGCGTCGCGTGCGACGTCGCGCCCGCAAATGACGATGGTTACAGGTAGTAGATGGCGATAATAAGCAATTCGGAACCGAAAATGGTCACGAATTTCTACAATGACGGGGTCTACATGAAGTTCGGTT